CGTTTTTTTTTTTTTTTTTTTTTTTTTTGAGTTTATATACCATTTAATCCACACGAGATTCCTTTTTCTTTTTACTTTTTGTTTTTAAAATTTAAATTTCCTTTTATTTTTCGTAAATTTTGTTCCAAGTTTGCTTAGATGTGAATGTAGACCTAAGTGAAGCTTTTACAATAATGGGCCGAAGTTTGTATGTGGCCCAAGATGGGAAGCACTTAGTTTGCTGAGATGTGAATGTGGACCTACGTAAAGTTTTTGTTACTTAATGGGCCGAAGCTTATCACTGTGGCCCACTATGGGAAGTACTTAGTTTGCTGAGTTATGAATGTGGGCCAATAAATGGGCCGGCCTGCTTCACTTGGGCTTTTTATCGAGTATACTAATTCAACTTTCATGGCTATTTATTTAAAAAAAAAAATAATTAATTTAAGGTAAAATATAATTTCCTAAAAGTTAGAGGTTAAATTTGTAATTTTAAATGCTTGGTTGGCTGAGGCTTTTTTATCTGGCCTGAATTATATGTTGTGATATTTTTTTATTGGCTTATTTCTTCCATTCTTCAAATTGTTTTTAAATGTATTTTTCTTGCTCACGTTTTCTAAACATTTTCTCGCAATGTAACTCGAGGCTTGAATATATGCCAACATTGTTTGCAATGTTTGAATTTCTCACGGCTGACTTGTTTGTTTTGTTAGAAAAAGTGCGATTATGGTCGGGTATAGTAACTCAATTTAAGGTCTAAAGTATAATTTCTTAAATTTTAGGGGTTAAATTTGTAATTTTATATATATATATATATATATATATATATATATATATATATATATATATAAATTATAAGGAATAATGAAGGGCGGGAGAGTGAAGCGGACGCCAAATGATTTTTTTATAAGCTTCTTGTACGACGTAAAATGTTTCAAACGGTCAACAAGAACGGTCAACATAAAGCCGTTGGCATGTATGTTGCCGTTGAAGACGTGGGCCCCACAGGCTTCAAACATTAAATTCTTTTTACTTTAAACTTCTTTCTCGTCCTTAAAACCCTGCAGTTTTTTCTGGGAAACTTCAAGTCTTACTAATTTTTGTACTCCACAAACTTCCGCCGGGAAACGTTGAACCACATAGCCAACAACCTTTCTTGTCGAGTTTCAACTACTTGAAGCTGTCGTTTTCTTGGAGAAATCAGCTGCGGAAAGCTCCATGGATGAATCGCAAGTAGTTTATGGGGCAAAATCTGATGTGAGAGCTGAAATCGACATGTCGGCCCCCTTCGAATCGGTTAAGGAAGCTGTCTGTCGTTTTGGTGGAGTTGGCTACTGGAAACCGTCTAATAAGCCCTTCGAAAACGAGGTGAGTATTGGGTAAATACACACAAACCTTAATTCCTTTTATTTTATTTTAATTTGATTTTTTTTTTTTTTTTTTTTTTTTGGATCAGCAACATGAAGTGGAAGAGATCACCATTGACAAGCTGGAGGAGCAGGCAACCCAGCTGGAAAATGATCTGATTTTGAAGAAGAAGGAAGCTCTGGATCTTCTAGAAGAACTGGAATCGACAAGAACATTTGTTGAGGATTTGAAAATGGAGATCCGAAAGGAGATATCTGAAGAAGATAAGGAAAACATTGGGTATACGAAGGAGGGTAAAAGCGTCAAATTTGTGGAAGATTTCTTGCAGGCAGAGAGGGATCTTAGCAGAACCACAAAAGGGATCTCCAGAATTCGAGCTTCAATGGAGATATTCAACAAGAAATTAGAGAGAACCCGGGAGAGATTGAAGCAGAATTCTTTGAAAATGTCATCAGTTGAGGAGAGATTGAGTCAAACGACGCAGAAGCTGCGAGATTCAAAGGATTCCAACATGGATGAAGAAGATGGTAATGAAATTTTGAAGGAGCTGCAGATTTTGAATTCCGAAGCTGAGGAGTTTAAGAAAATGGGGGAAGCAGCGAAGGCTGAGATTTTGAGGACAATATCGAAGATTGAAAGAAGAACGGCGAAGATAAGAACGGCTGAATCGAAAGGGAAAATCTTGAAACAGGTGAAAGAAGCGACGGAGGAAATCAAGAACACGAAATTTGCACTGGAAGAAGCTCTGAACAGCATGGAGGCTGCGAAGAGGGAAGAAGCGGCGGAGAAATGGGGATGGGAGTATGGTAAGAACATGGAGTATCGTACACAGAAGCTGGTTGGACATGGAGCCGCCGCCGCCGCACCTCCTTCAATAGGACAGATACTGAGCAGGAAGCTGTTTCTGCAGGAAGAGTTGATGCCGTCGGGGACGGTGGCGGAGAAAGGATTCTTGAAGGGGAAGGTGTCGCTGGCGCAGATGCTCGGCAAACAGAATCGGGATGTGTCGAATTGTGTGAGGGTCGAATGGCGGGGAAGTGATCGGAATCAATCGAGCCGGAAGCGGAAGAAATCGGGAATGGCTGCTCGGTTGCCGTTCTTGGGAAAGCAGAATGATAATCAGAAAAGGAAGAAGCCCACCCCTATCCTCAAATGATGTTGAGCAGTTGATTATGTGTATAAGTGTGTATTTAAGACTGATTCTTTTACTGACTCCACTTGTGTGAACCTTCAATTCCTGTTTAGGATTATTTATGTACTTAGGATTGATTGTAGGGTTCGTTTCTCCAAATTATTTTGTTTTATGAAAGACTAAGGTGATGTTTGTTTGTAAGAGATGAAAAAGAGAGTTTTTGTCCCGTTATTCCCAGCAATCGCTCTTTCGAGGGTTAAAAGAGAGGATCAATGTCCGCACTTTTCCAATCCGAACCAATGGAATAGTCCTCTTCTGGGTCGGAAGGCTTTCCTTCAGTGAGTGTGCCTGTTTAACTAAATTTTTGAAGATGTCGAATCAGAAGCACCCGCTACCACAAGAGAACGATCAATCTTAGCTAAAACCAAATCTGAAAACGCATCGACAGATGCATACACACAAACAAATTTTTAGACCTAATCTTATTATTTCGATGATAAGTTAATCAATCATACAGTTGAATTAACCAGATTTTTCGAGTTGCCCAAAGCCACCCAGCCAAAATTCGACAAAGGGTGCATTGAAGGTAATCAAATAGTATGAGAGAACAGGAATCAAAAGCTTCATAAGGGGGAAATGAATGATAAAATCCCATCTCCAAAGCAACTGAAAACTACATTAAAAACAAAAAGTATACAGGTGAGGAGTGTTTGGATTCAGATGGTAGGTTCCATGCTCAGAAAAGAACGAGCGTATATATAACAGAGGTCGAGCCATCGATTCAATGACCAAATGAGATATATTACACAAATCTTTGAGATGGCATCCAGTAATTAGTGAAGGCATGAAGAAAGCAACGGAATATAGCTCCAATGAACAAATTTTTTCCTTCCTCAAAAAGGGGGGATGGGGGGGCTCCTCCTCTCTAGCTAGTGTTATAGAAACTTAAAAATATGTTGATGAATATATATGGATGATGACCCCTAGCAGTAGTTACCTGATGCACAAACAAAAGCATGTTACGAGTACTCCTATCCGTGCTACTCTAAGTAAACATCGATCTCCCCAACAAGAGGAGAGGAGGAGGACGACGACCATGACAGACATCGGATTTCCAGTATTCTTCTAAACTCTCCCTATCTCAACAAACAGACTATTTGCCTCTGGAGAACAGGAGTTGTGTTTTTTTTTTTTTTTTTTTTTTTTTTAAGANTTTTTTTATAGTGTTAGTGTCCGTTTTCATATCAAAAGACCACAGTGACTGTACATCCGGTGCCGGAAATAGACCCCCAACAGGCGGCGGCTTCACAACCGAAGGCTTTCCAGCACCAATCCCTGCTGCGCCTTGTGCATCCCATTCACTGCCACAAGATACTTCACCATCAGTAAACAACATTAAGAAAATTGTCCTTTCCCTATTGGTAGAATCATTCTTACAAATAATCGTCCCAATCTCAGACATTTACCAACTCCAACCTGAGCATAGCTCAACAGACTAAAACATATGCCTAAAACCTAGAATTTCTCAAACGGGTTAAAAACATCTTAAGCCTGGCGGTCAAAAGTTTGAACCCTCCTCCTCCCCTCTATGTTGTTGAAAAAAAAAAAAAAAACAAACGAACTAAACTTGTACAGCAACTTATCCACAAAAACCATCACTCATACAATGAGCTCATATGTTTTTTTTTTTGCACCCTTCGCCGTTCGACGATTTGTGCACCATTACCACCAATCAAATCTCGACAGACACGAGAAATTGTTTACTACATTTTCCTTTTTAGTACTACTCCCTAGAATAAATTCGAGAATTATATGATTTACATGAAAAGAAACCAGTAGGATTTATCCTTAATTAAATCAAATATCTCCGCAACGAGAACATTCCTAAAGGAAGAATATGTTGAAATGCAAGCACGAACGTAAAACAGCAATCATACAGAACTTTTCACGCTTTCTTAGTTGATATTACTTTTAGATTCTAAGCTGTTCAGATCAACAAGGTATACAACACAAATTATGGTGAAATTAGACACACTGCATCTTTAAAATGAAGGCATGTGTATATGCAAGCCCAGCACAAAAATTTTATAGGCAGTGTGTAAATTATACAATGAAGACAACCAATCACAAAAGAGTAACAAAATTATAACGCAGACCGACATAAATCGAAGGACTTACTTTGGCCAACAGCTAGTTGCAGGCAGCTCGAATGGATGAGCGGTGGAGGATCTGCTGCTGGGGCTACCATATATCATTTCATTTGGAACAGATTCATCCTGAGGCATAACAGGGAAGTTGTTTTCACTTCTAGACAAGGGCAGATAGAAAGGCTTCTTTAACCACGGATCGTGATCACAGCCCATAACCGGGTTAAACGTCCCAACACTTTGGCCATTATCAAGAAACACATTCTGAGAAGA